GAACGGAACAATCTCAGTGTTTAGGAATTTTACGCGACTATGTTGGATTTGTAGGATCAATTGGCTCTTACAAAACCTAATGTGTTGAAGGCTTTTAAGCCTTATATTGATAGAAGGGAACAACAACATTTGGTTAAGTTCTTGATGGTATTACGTTTAGATTTTGAAGGCTTGCACATATCAATATTGTATCGCCCACCTCTTCCCACTATTGATTCAGTTGTTTACGAGTTTATTGTTGAAGAAACTTGTATCAAGTCCCATGATGAAAAAGGTCACAAGACAACCACTCATGCTGTTTTTGCTACTCCACAACGACCTCAATCTTCAAACTAGAATTGTCCTAAAGTTACATTTGATGAGTGTTCTTTCTGTAAGAAGAAGGGTCATTGGAAGGCAAATTGTCCTTTGCTGACAAGCAAGGGAAACCAACAACAACAACAAACGAGATCACCTACACAGTCTCAGCCTTCACAACAGAACAAGTCTTCTGGATAGTCACGTACCTCGGTTCCATCTTTTAGGACACCACAGTACGTTGTTGTTGCACCTTTAGCTGAGAATGGAACAAATTTTACACCACCATTAGCCTTGGATCCACAGATTGTTGAGCAGTTCAGACAATTTATTGTTGCCAATCTAACTGCCATGTCAACTTCCATGTCTCATTTAGGTATGTCTTCATCCAACACGTTAGGTATTCCTTCATCCTTGTGGATATTAGATTCTGGTGCATCTCATCACATGTCACCACATTTTTCATCTTTTGCTTCAGTATCTTCTCCTATACTTGTCTCTATTATGTTTGCTAGTGCTACACCTATGTCAGTAGAGGGTGTTGGTTCTATTGTCACCACTTATATATTTCTAAGAGATGTGTATTACATTCCCACACTTACTTTGAATCTTGCATCGATCAGTCAGTTGTTTAAACATGGTTGTTGGGTCTTCTTTTCTGATAGATTCTACTGTGTACAGGACATTCGTTCATGGAGGGTGATTGGGATAGGCCATAGACTTGGGGAGTTCTATGTTATGGAGTAGCTACATGTTGCTGATGTTGCTGCATCTAGAGCGATTTGTCGTCTTTTCGTTTAAACCCTTCGTCGTCTGTTTTTTATTTTTAGCATTTTCATTTGGGAAATGTGTCAGCATCTCTTTTATAGTTTTTGGTTTCCATTGGTGTGTTAGGTTCTTTGACCGCTAATGATATTTCTGATTGTTATGGTTATAAACTGGGAAATTTTTTTGCTTTACCGTTTAATAAGTGTCACTTGTTCTGTTGCTCCATTTGATATCGTGCATTCTGATGTGCGGGGTCCATCTCCGATCACCTCTAAATTGGGAGCTAACTATTATGTTTCATTCATTGATAATTCCACTTGTTATATGTAGGTTATTCTTATGAAGCGTACTTCTGACTTTTTCACCATATATAGTGAATTTAGAGCTCTTATCAAGACTCAACACTCTACTGTCATAAAAAAATTTCGGTGTGATTCGGGAGGAGAATTTACCTCTAGTGATTTTAAACAATCATTAGCATCTTATGGCATTGCGCATCAGTCATCTTGTACAGATACTCCTCAACAGAATGGTGTTGTAGAAAGAAAACATCGACATCTCCTAGAAACTGCGAGATCCTTACTAATTTTTGCTCAAGTTCCTAATATGTTTTGGGGAGAAACTGTTTATACCGTTAGTTACGTTATTAATCGCATTCCTACTGTGTACGCTTCGAGGAAGTCTCATTATGAAATGTTGTTTGGAAAACTCCCAGATTATTCTTCATTACGAGTGTTTGGGTGTAACATTTTGTCTTGAAGCCTCATGTAAAGAGATATAAGTTGTCTTTAAAATTAGCTATTTGTGTTTTTTTGGGATATGGTATTGGTCAAAATGGTTATTCGTGCTATGATCCATCAAATCAGAAACTGTATGTCTCCCGCAATGTCACTTTTTTAGAGCATATTTTGTTTTATAGCTTTCCTGTTCAGTCACATGTTGCAACACGAGAGGAAATTCTTACTATTGATCTATTTAGGATTAACATTGATGATCCACTACATGTCACTGATCCATCACCTGCTGCTGATCCACCACCTGTCGCTGATCATTTTCCTGTAAATCATTAAGACCCCCTCCATCGAAACCTTATCGTAATAAGAAGTCCACAAAGCTTCCTGGCTTGTCTATTCCTCTTACTCACTAGTGTTTCCTCCTTTTATTGCTAATGTATATCGTCTCTCTGAGCCATCATCCTATACAAAGGCCGTTTCTGATCCCTTTTGGCAAACCGCTACGGCTGAGGAACTTACACTTTTTATCAGACTCATACATGGGATCTGGTTCCGCTTCCTCCTAAAAAGAACATGATTGGTTGTCATTGGGTATATAAAATCAAAAAAGTCTGATGCATCCATTGAGCGCGATAAAGCCATACTTGTTGCAAAAGGGTACGTACAAAAGTATGGTATGGATTATGAGGAGACGTTTACTCCTATTTCAAAAATGACGATTGTCTGCACCTTGATTGCAGTTTCTTCCTTTCACCAATGGAAGATTTATCAGATGGATGTCAATAATGCATTCTTGAATGGTGATCTTCATAAGGAAGTATACATGTCTCCTCCCCCGGTATTGCTCACCAACCAGGTAAAGTTTGTCGACTTCGGAAGGCACTATATGGCCTCAAACAAACCCCCCGTGCTTGGTTTGAGATTTTTTCTATGGTAATTACTTCGCTTGGTTTTCAACCAAGTAACCATGACTCGAATCTATTTTTTCGATGCATGAATGCAAGTCAAATTATTCTTTCCTTATATGCTGATGCCATGATTATTACTGGTGATGATCATGATGGTATGGAGTCTTTAAAGCGTGATTTGGCTTACCATTTTGCTATGAAAGACTTAGCCTTACGTTATTTCTTGGGGATTAAAGTTGCTCGGTCTACAAAGGGTTATCTTTTATCTCAAATGAAGTATATTTCAGAATTATCTGAATGTGCATGACTCACAGATAGTCGGACAATTGATACGCCTATAGAGAGTAATGCAAAGTACTCTCCAACCGATGGTGTCCCATTATCAGATCCAAGTCTTTTATCGTACCATTGTAGGGAGTTTGGTTTACATGACTATCACTAGACTGGATATTGCTCATGCAATTCATATGGTTAGCTAGTTTGTCACTGCTCCTACTACCGTTCATTGGGGAGTTGTTCTTCGTATTTTGAGATATCTATGTGGTACTCAATTCCGCACTCTTGTGTTTCCATCTACATCCTCTCCTGAGTTGTGTCCCTATAGTGATGCAAATTGTGATAATGATAATTACGATTGTAAGTCCACTACTGGGTATTGTGTTTTTCTTGGAGATTCATTGATATCATGGAAAAGTAAGAAAACAAGAGGTTGTCTCTCGATATTCTACAAAATCTAAGTATCGAGCCATGGCTATCGCCACTTGTGAGATTGTTTGGTTGAGATGACTTCTTGTAGATATGGGCGTTCACATCTCTTAACCTACACCTGTGTATTGTGACAACGAGAGTGCGATAATGATTGCCAAGAATTCAATGTTTCATGAGCGTACAAAACACATTGAGATTGATTGTCATTTCACACGACATCATCTCCAGAAAGGTACTATCTCTCTTCCTTATGTTTCCTCCACTTTGTAGATAGCTAATATTCTTACGAAGCCATTGACTGCTCCTCGATTTCGTTTTCTATCCAACAAACTCTCAATGCTTATTGTTGTTGCATTGTAAGTTTGAGAGGGGGGGGGGGGGGGTGTTAGCCTAATAAGATTATGAGTTTTATTTTGTATTGGGTCTTATGTTGACCCATTAGCTAGAAAACCCTAATTAGCTAGTCTGTATATTATGTGTTTTCCTTTCATGGTATCTTTGTACTTATCATTTGATATTAATATAAAACCCTAGCTATTCTATATATTGTTAGTTTTCAAAACATACCGAGAACATGTAAAACATAAATGTGGGACCTTGAAAAAGATACAAAAAACCATATATTAGTATATCAACAACCATCACTCCATAGCAAACATTATGCTTTCCAAATCCCAAATTAGAAAAGAAATTAGGGCTCAGATCGACGAATTGATCAACATCTTGCTACATCACAACGAAACAAGCTACATTGCCACTTAAAGCATAATTGTAGCTGCACCGGTGGAGGAAGCGGTAGAGAAAAGGATCGACATCTCCGATTTTGGCAAGATGAATCGATGGTGTTAGAAGGTGGAGCAGGGAAGTGTTTTGGTGAATTGATTTCCACATGGTAACATAGAATTGAAACAAAAACAAAGATGAAACAGGAAACCTTCCAAACCCAACCTTCAGGAGCCAAAACAAAAAAAACCACCACAAATTGTTGGAAGCAAAGAAAAAATGACGACGAAATCAGAAATTAACGAAAAGACAAAGGCAAAGACAAATCATAATCGGTTCGATGGTGATGCAAGCAATGACTTTAAGAGGTGTCTTGTATTTACAAAGAAAAAGTGAGAGATACAAAGTTGAGAAGCTCCAAAATTGCGGTGGTCAAACTAACTCTAAAATTGTGGTGGTCAAAATGTGAAGTGCAGAAAAGACACCGCTAATAAGTGTGTTAGGTATTAATATATTTATATAATATACTAATTATATTGTATTATATTTCATCATGGTTATCAAGATTATAAAAAATATATTCGATTTTTTTAATAGGGAGAGTGGGGATCGGAAGGCTAAAGCTGTTTTTGGTTTTCTTTGTTGGGGAAATTGAGCCGTTACTTGCACTTTTGCCTAGACAAAAACACGCCATCTCACGTAACGTTAACTTCTCACCTCACCTTACCTTTTTGTCTCTTCTTCACTTCCACTCTCATTTTCCGAACGCTATTTAGGGTTTTGTTTCATTCAATCGACTTTCAGATCCAAACAATAGAAACCCCAAAACGACCCCCATCAAAATCGAGGTTTTTTGTTTGATATGTCCATGGATGAAACTGATGATGGGAGAGTTGAAGCATTTGACTCGGTTCACAATGTCAAACCCGGATTTGGTGAAACGGGTTCGGAGCAGGAACAAATCAATGGTGGTCTCGTGAGGGGGGAAGTAGACACGTCGGCGCCCTTTGAGTCAGTAAGGGAGGCTGTGTCCCGATTCGGCGGAGTCGGGTTCTGGAAACCCCATTATAAGCACCCACATTCTTCTGAGGTCCTACTCTTTCAGTCTCTCTGTATATCTTCATATTTTCTGTGGTTTAGTTTTAATTTTATATTTATAAGCAAAACGATTAACAATATGGTTGGTGTTGTATGACAAACGTTATCCTCTATAAGCTGTGTTTATGTATAAAGAAATTTCTCTTTTTGTAAAGTGGTTCTGAACCATTGGATCTGATTTTAGACTTTTGAGGTCAAGCAGCAACTTTTCGGCTTCAAAATCAACGAGTGTGATCTTGAAGAAAATCTTGATACTTGCATAGTTTAAGTTGCAGATTACATTTTGAATTTTGATTTTGTATTCATTATTTTGTTTTTGTGATTGCAGAATGGCATTATTGAAGAAGAATTCGATGCAGAAAAAGCAGAAGAGCAGGCTGTGCAATTAGCTAACGATCTCATAGTTAAAGAAAGGGAAACCCTTCAAGTCTTGAAAGAACTCGAAGCAACAAAAACTACTCTTGAAGAATTGAAAGCAAAACTACAGAAAGAATCTGAACCCGTTCATAATCAACTCAAAGAACCCAACGACCAAAATCACAAAACCCCACAATCAAATGATGATAATAACTTCATGTGTCCTTCTTCAGCTCCAGGATTCATCTTGATGGAATTAAAGCAAGCTAAACTGAACTTAACAAGAACAACAAACGATCTTGCAGACATCAGAGCAACTGTGGAAATGTACAACAAAAAGATTGAGAAAGAAAGATTCGAACTTGAGAAAACCCGTCAACGATTATCTTCACATTCCTCAAAAATCTCATCTTTTAAAGAAAATCATGAAGAGAATCTTGATGATTATATACCAAGGGAGCTCCAACGATTGACTTCTGAAACTGAGCAGTTCAAAAAAGTCGGTGAGTTAGCCAAATCAGAAGTTTTAAGAGCAATGAATCAGATCGAACAGACTAAATCAAAGATAAAAACAGCCAAGATTCGTCTAATTGCTGCTAGAAAACTGAAAGAAGCTGCAAGAGCTAGTGAAGCACTTGCAAGATCTGAGATTAATTGTTTATTAAAAAGTGAAAATTTATCAGAAGGCGAAGGCGTAACTCTTTCAGTCGAGGAATACTCTTCTTTAAAGATGAAAGCTCGAGAGGCTGATGAAGCTTCATCAAATATTGAAATCGACCAATCAGAGGTATCGAAATCTGAGATCTTGAAAAAGGTAGAGGAAGCAACAGAAGAAGTGAAGAACAGTAAGAGGGTTCTTGAAGAAGCTTTGAGTAAAGTTGAAGCTGCTAATGGTGACAAGTTAAAAGCAGAAGAAGCTCTTCGAAAATGGCGATCGGATCATGGTCAACGAAGAAAGTCAACGGTTCAAAACGCGACCAAATTCAAGAATTCTTCTTGTAGGATGAATAACACCCGTTTGTTTGATGTAAACGGGGCCCATTTGGTGAGTAACGGGTCGAGTCCGGTTTTGAGGCCAACAATGTCGATTGGGCAGATTTTGAGCAGGAAGTTGCTTTTGACAGAAGAGAATTCAGAGAAAAGTTCGATGAGAAGGAAGGTTTCATTGGCACAAATGCTGAGGAAGGCTACTAGTGATGGTGGCAGCAGTGGCGATGGTGGTGGGAAGCGGCGCTCGGGAAAGAGAAAGAAGTTTGGGTTTGGTCGGATTTCGTTCTTGGTGGCAAAACCGAGCAAGAAGAAGAAGAAACATAGTGTATTAAGTTCGAGACTTTCATGTGTTGTGGATTAAAAAGTTTGTGGATTCAGTTAGGTTATGTTATGTATTCTATAATTAGATTTAGTGTGTTTCATTTGGTTGTGTATTTTTTTTTTTTTTTTTATGTTAGGTTCTTGTTTTAAGATCTTTTTTAAACACGGTTCTTAGTCTAATAATATATTTATAGAAATATGAGGACATGATTCGTCATCTGTAATGATGATGAATAAAGAATGTAATATCTCCGTTTCATATTGATTGACTATTTTTGACTTTTGAAGGTTTTATTTTTCAATTTTGATATTAAGTTTTTTTTTTGTTTTTTGATAAATAATCCTTAATGCAAAATATATTAATGAGTTGTGTTTTAAATGTTTTTTTTTATTATTATAAGGAATAAAAATTGAAAAATAAAGAATTTAAAAATAAAAAATAAAAAATAAATATGAATATTAGACGGAGGAAGTATATATACAAACAGTAGATCTAAGGGCCATTGACTCTAACTACTAACTACGGGTATTACACAAACATATTCGCCCGTTGTTAAAATGACAAAAACGAGATTGATCAATTAAAAATTGTTTCTTGCCAATAAGTTCAAAATAATATACTTCAGATTCATAATAAGCCTTTGTTTGCTTTGTATTTGATTTTATAAGTCGTCAATGCTTCAACCTCTTTGTTTATAGTTTCTTTCCATAGGGGAAAAGCAATACCTTCTTCATAACTAGATGATTCGTGTAGTTGATTGACAATATGAATGAATTGTTTACTTTGAGAAGAAAGATAGGCAAAGCAAATGTGTGTGTTTCGAGATATAACGGTATGCATGCATAAGAAAGTGCATTTGTACCAAAATTTTCTTGGAGGCGGAGTAGGAGGACTATTTGTTCATGAAGACCTTCTAACGATTGGTTGATAATGTTAATTTTGAAGGCTCCAATCGAAGAATATATATATATATATATATATATATATATATATATATATATAATATATATATATATATATATATATATATATATATATATATATATAGAGAGAGAGAGAGAGAGAGAGAGAGAGAGAGAGAGAAGAATCATTTGAGAACTTATATCTTCCCGAAAACCTAAAAACTAAAAGTTGACCGTTAGATTAAAAAAGTTAAGAGCCAAGATCTTTTATAGCAATTTTGTAAATAAATAGAAAAATAAAATCAAGGAAGAGTATCTTAATAAAATAAGATAAGGGCATTTAAAGTAACAATTAATTAACTCTCCAAATAAATCGTGATTAGTCTTTCTATCGCTTGTTCCCTTCTCCGATTCTTCACCGACTCCATCGACCTCCTCCCTCTTCGTCAACCCCTCCCTCCTCCCTCTAAAAACCACCCTACCTCTGTCAACAACCACCACCTTCATTGAAGATTCTCCGATGATTGATAGATTTAACATCGCTGTGGTTGCGTCATTCTTCTCTCTCGAAGTTTCGTGCCCAGATTCGTACGACTTTCATCGAACCACATTCTCACTCGTCTTCAATCGCTAGAGAGTACCGCCTCCGCCTCTACTCCTCCATACTGACATCGTTATTTTGTTGATTTTGATTTGCCTTAAAGTGCCGGATCTTAGCCACCTTCATAGATCGTGAATAGAAGTGGCTGTCTACAATCGCCTCCGCATTCTCACTATTGTCTCGAGTCAACCACCATTATTGCCGATTTTCCGATCAGACCGAGATAAAGAAAAAGAAACTCCAATGGCTGTGATGGTGGAGTTTGTTCGAGAGTACCGAGATTTTTACAGGTTCTAATTTACAGTTACTTGCAATCCATAATGCCTAAGTTCTAAATCATTGGAAGATAATCGATGAATCAACAAATTGATGTCGTTCCATGGATTAACATATCTAATTTATGCTCGAAAATCCATCATTACCTTCAACAAAAACAATAATTGTCGACTATGAAGTTATTCTTCCTGTTTCCGGATGATTTTCCGATCAAACAATCAACGACTACTTCCATGTCCATCGCGAATCATGTATACTAATCTAAATCCTTAGGAGGTATCCTACCGTGTTATTCTTTATTGATGGTGTTCATAAGCCCTACAACGCTGCCAGGAACAAGTTAGTCTCTCTCCATCTCTCTCGTAGTGAATTGATTTTATCTTCTTGAAAAATTATAGTCTGGTAGTGAATTGGACCTTACAATGCTGACAGAGGCAGGTTAGTTTCACCTGTTCGACTGCAATACAATTAACACGTATAAAATCTATTTTTCTGTGGAAGTAACCATCCATGGTGTTCACTGAATGAAAATTTTCATCATTGATTGTGGTAAGTAATATAAGAAATTTGGTGATGTTAATAAGTTAATTATTACTCCATGATTTGGTGATGATTTAGTTCGTTTAGTAGTTCAGTTAAAGATCCTGTAGTGTCATTCACAATGTCATCTTTGCCCCTGCATACTAGCAACAATTCTTGAAGAGATTGTACAAGTGCTTTAAACTTTTGAATTTGTTTCTCTTGAGATAGGATTATCTGAAATAGGGAGATAAAACAATAAAATAAATAAATAAGTAGTTGAGAGCTTGAGATGTATAAAATGTAGTTATATACATGTAACTGAATTTGATAAGTATATTAACATCACAAAATGATGGAGTTAATACTTATATGATCAGGAACTGAAAGCTCGAATTGCTTCAGCTTTTTATGATAACCTCCACATAGAGGAAGAGTGTCTGTGGGGTTAAATCCAACATTTCTCTTCTTTAGGTTTGTGCTTGGTTTCAACATTTTCTATTTTTTTTTTAAATATTTTGTTCTTTTCATCTTTACTGGTTCATTACCAGAAAAGATAATATCATTATTTACTGATGATACTCTATTTTTATTTTCATGGCATGTCTTATTTTGGTCAAATATGACAATGAAATTTCAAGATCCATCATATCTGGTAACCAATCGATTCATTTACAGATACCTTTAATGCTGCAACTGTAAAAATCCTAAAACTTGTAATTACATTTTTTTTATAAACCTAGAACAAATTCTATGGGGTTTTCTTTATTTTACTTGTTTATGGTTCATCGCTGAATTCTTGTGATTCAAATATGAATTACATGTGATTCACATGTAAATCATATGTAATTCACATATAAATGACATATGAATCACATGTGAGACACATGTAAATGACATGTAATTCACATATGAATTAAATGTGATTCACATGTAAATAACAAGTTATTTACATGTAAATCACATGTTATTCACATATGCATCACATGTAATTCATATATAAATTATATGTGATTTGTGTGTAATTCACATATGAATTACATGTGATTCACATGTAAATCACATGTTATTCATATGTAAATCACATGTTATTCACATATAAATTTCATGTGATTCACATGTAAATCAAATTTATTCACATGTAAATCACATATTATTCGCATATGAATCACATGTAATTCATATATTAACATATGAATTATATGTGATTCACACATAAATTAATTACATGTGATTCACACATAAATCACATATGATTTTTGTGAGTGTTTTTGCATCAATCAGATTCTTTTTAATTTTCTTATAGATTTGGAAGAAATTGTGGTGAATATTGAAGATGTGGAAAATGATAAATTGAAGAAAATATGAAAATATTGACACGAAGACATGAAAATGCTTTGAAATTTTGTATCATTTTTGTTTTTTATATTTTACATTGTATCAAATAAAATACTTAGTGTATTGTGTTTATAGATTAGTAAATAAAATGAGTTTCTTATGATTTTCTTACAAATATTATAGTATATGAAATATGCATATATGCAGTTGTAAAAATATGCATAAATGTACCAAAATTTTTGATTTTTTTGGTTAAAAAAATATAGTATTTTTTAAATGTTCCACTTTTTTTTATTGATTTTTAATTTTTTTTTAAAATGCAGTTTTTTTTTTTAAAAACTATATAATTTTTTCAATTTTTTTTTTCAAAAATTCATGTTTTCAATAAAAAACTAAAAAATCTGCAAAAAACTGATTTTTTTTCAAAAATTCATGTTTTTTTTTAAATTTAAAAAATCTGCACTTACAAAAAACTGAAAAAAATGCATTTTAAAAAAAAAATCTGAAAATTTGATTTATTATATAATTTTTTAGATATTTCTATTAATTTGTAGAATAACAAAAACAATTAAACATTAAATAAAATTGATAAAATTACGATAATGCCCTTAATGAATTAGTTTTGATCTAACGCTCCAGTTTTAGTTCTCAGGTTCTCGGGAAACTATGAGTTCTCAATCGATCTCAACCTTTTATATATATATATATATATATATATATATATATATATATATATATATATATATATATATATATATATATATATAAAGTAAATTAGTTTAAGGGGTTAATTGTCCTAAGGAAAAAAGTAAAATGTAAATTAAACTAATTAAAATTGGACAAATACAATTTTATAAAAAGTTGAGTGGTTAAATATTTAATTTCTGAAAATTGATTTAATAAAAAGAAATTGAGAGGTGGGGTTGATTTGAAGCATAAATAAGTAGATGAAAATGTAACTTGTAGTAAAACTTGATATTTGAAGAAATTATAAACCTGTTTGGTAGACCGGACAAACATATCGTATCGTGTCGGGTTCATGTCGTGTCGTGTCAAGACATTAAACGGGTTGAAAGGGCTTGACTCTAACCCGATCCGTTTAATTATCGTGTCGTGCCGTGTCAACCTGTTTTTTTTTTTTTCGTGTCGTTTCGTGTCGGGTTAAGGTTTAGACCTTGTAAATATGTTGTGTCATGTCGGGTTGAAATATTTTACAGGTTGGAAAGTAGGAGTTGTGGAGGCAAGAAGGAAAAAGTGAAACACTGGAGTTATGAGATAGAATGACAAAATTTATAGTAAGTTTAGAAGAAAAAATGGAAAAAGTTAAAGTTAAGGAACAAAAGGGATAGGTGGTGAGGATGACTAAAATTAACTTTGAAAATTTGAATAATTCTTCTAATTATTGAGTTTGGCCCACTACAAGTCTATAACGTATAATATATTTATAAAAATATGAAATTTATTATAAAGAATATATAATTAAATGGGTCATATTCGAGTTGAAAGTCTTGACCTTAACCCTACCCGTTTAATTATCATGTCATGTCGTGTCAACCCATTTACATAAACGTGTGGAAATCTCCGACCCTAACCCACTAATTTCGTGTCGGGTTTTCATGTTGTGTCATGTTTTGCCGGGTCTACTGTTAGGAATCTAAAAAAAAAAGAATGATGCTTAAGCTAGCTGA